CAGGTATTTTTTCAATGAGTTGTTGTTTTCCTTTTTTATCATTCCAAGCGCACCCACCATGACCGGTACTATTCTTGCTTTCAATTTCTACATTTTTCTATTTCGAATTCCAGGTATTGTTTTTTTTTATTATTATTATTATTATTATTATTATTATTATTATTATTATTAAATGAGTATAAAAGAGTCCAATCAATACGACGGTTCAAACTACAACTGGAAATGTTAATCTCTTCATGCATCATATTTTTGAGATTTCGATTTCAAGGTCTATTATTATTATTACTATTATTTGTCGTTTCTCCAGCTCCGGACATATAAGCAGCGATGAAATTTTTGTGAAAATGAGAACAAAAAGGAAGCTTATACATAAAAATCAGAAAGGTACAGGTTGGGGTTTCTGGGACACATAATAAGAAAAGAAGGCTTGTAAAATTTGATACTCACAGGACAGATAAAGTGCAAGTGGAACAGAGGAAAACAACGCATGACATAGCGATCCAGAATAAATGGATGGCGGAACAAGGTTTAGAAGAAATAACAGAAAGACAAAGTTTATTAAGAGCTATAATGGACAGGAAGGTGTGGAGAGCCATGATCGCCTACCTCCTGAGGGGTAACGACATATAAAGAAGAAGGAGAATACTTAATGTTTTATTGTTCTCATATTCTTTCACACACAGTAACCACCTTGCGTCTTAGTTACTGCCTTGCTTGGGGTTAATTTTTTTTTAAAATTATAGGCACGGGGATATACATTTCGTGCACCATGACTTCAGATACTGGACAAGGTGCTGGTACTTTTACGCTGGTGTTATACTACGTGCTAGAATATGCTAAACGATGTAAATATGTTTTCATAGGTATTACTCTCGGCATCACTTTCTTTGTGGGTTGCTTACGTCTTTGTGTTTGGTTCTCATAAAACTAATGTTGATTTTTTTTTTTCATTGTCCACATTTTTCTGAGTCTTTATTTCGGTAACAAACGCCATACAGTCACGGTTTTGCGAAAAAACATTCATAACCTCTCCACGATTTTTTTTCCTATCTTGTCGCATATATCACCGCCAGAAAAAGCCATTATTCAACTTCAGCTTGTCCGCTCAAAAATGTCTCCAATTCGTCCTGCTTCTGCGGTTATGGTCGCCACACACACACACCATTTGTCATCTGCCCGAAGGAAATGTTTGCAGTCAGTCAGATTGTATTTTATAATTCATCTTGATTGAGCTTCTCTAAAATTGCCCGGAAAATATTTTCCTTCAGTTTTATTTGGTTAAATTTGGTTATTCTGTCCTTTTTTTTTTTTTTCCTATTTACAGTCATGTTGATCTCTGATTTGATTCATATTAAACGGATCTGATATTCGCTGACGGAGAGAGAAAAAGCCAATAAAAGCCAAACTTCAAATTCTTTGTGAGAGTTCAAACAAGAAAGTGCTGATATGGATTTCCGGAGAAAACTCACATCTACATATGTTCAACAAATGACAAACAAATATCAAGTATAATAAATAGAAGATAGTACTGTATATACTCACGTACAACAGAGAGATCACACCCTTAGTTTCAGGTTGTCAAAGTGGCTATTTGCGTTTGAAATGAAAATAAGTCGCATTATATTCTGGGGAGTTACATAGCCGTTTTTTTTTGTTTTTTTTTTAACGTAAATATAACTAATATTTGTTAAATATTTTCAAATATTCACCTTTATTTCAAAACTCTACATATATTAAAAGATAAAAAAAGTGATTGGTTGTAATTGCGTGCACTATTTACATTATTCGGACTATTGTCCTCATCTTTGTCGCAATATTTATTACAACGTTTCGAACGCTGTACGCTCAGACCTTCTTCAGGTGGTTCGAATGTCGAACGGAACTCTTTATTTTGTTCACTCCAGTAGACTGTTCTAGTGCCACGTGGCATGTCTAATGGATGTCAGTTATCAGGTATCTCCTGTTAATTCCCCTCTCCAAGTTCTCCACTGCCTTAACCAGATATTGAACTCACACACTTTGCATCCTGTCACTGGATATAACCAACGCCTTTATCCTTGAAGACGCATGGCACAGTGGATAAAGGCGTTGGTTAAATCTAGTGACGGGACTCAGAGTTGTGAGTTCAATACTTGGTTAAGTCGGTGCAGAAATTTGAGAGGGGAATTAACAGGAGATAACTGATAACACATTCAGGTTGCTTATAATGTCGATTGGATAGGTCACATCCCTGATATTTATCGAAATTTTAGTGAAAAAAATGCGATCTATCGTCGAGTATAGTAGTAGTAGTATAGCTGGCCAATCGTATTCGAGGACACACGTCTACTAGGGCGGCTAGCCAATCCCTATTGCAGACGCTCGATCAGGCGCATTTGTGTTTATTCAACATCCACAGAACCCACCAGAAGTTTATATTGCAACTACGCTGAGCAGACCTTAGTTACAATTTCTGGGAAAGAGCGTGTTATCTAGCGTGATCAACAATTTGAACAAGGCCAGTATGCTCAAGCCCTCAGCCACGATGACTTGTGATTTCGTGCTAGCACAGCTATCCGGCAACCCAATTTCACTCACAAGATTCAACCTGTGGTATGGTCTCCAGACAGTTTCATAAGGTCTGAGATCGACCCCACGTCCGATAACATCAGGAAGACTTTGTGCTAGCACACCTATCCGTCTACCCAATTTCACTCACAAGGCTTGGGTCCACCCGTGGTACGGTTTTCCGGCACTTTCCAAAGGTGCCGCACAGGAAATCAACCCCAACCCCACTCCGATAACATCAGGAAGACTCCTTCCAGACAAATCGACCATGGTGAGATTAGAACCCGGGTCTAACCAGTCGTCCACGTGATCATATCCTCGAGTATACACGATAGGTGTTTTGCTATAACGTTGAAATAAATCGAGTAAGAAGATATACATTTGTTTCACTTCCCTGTTTTATTTAATCATTAGAGTAAAGCGATCCTTGTTGCAGTTTTTTTGTGTATAGTTGTTTTTATGTACTAGTGAGCAAGTCAAAATGAGCTGACTCATTTTATAGTTCACCAATATCAGGGTTAACCAATCAGAAAGCTCAAAATATTCAATGCGACGTGTATAAAGGCAGACATTTTTTTCTCCAAAATTGTCTGCACTGCCAACCTGATATCGAAGACTTAAAGAATTACTTAGCAACCGCTACTTTCTCTGAATCTTCACTGCCGACCTCTGATATTGAACAGATTACGAACTTCAGTGAATTCCATATTCAGAGACTGCGGCAAACATGGTCAACAATCCTAATATAATTATAAGTTCTACCGGGATTTATTATTCGCGACAGATAGGCAGGAGACACCGTGTTGATGAGAGATAAAGACAGAAATCTATAGAGGAAAATTAAAAAAAAAATAAAGGCTGAAAACGTAAACGGGAGGAAAAGTTTAACTATAAGCTATAAGAAAACAATGTACAGGTTATTTCTGAATTTTTTTTTTTTTTTTTTAATCATTTCACCCCTAGCAAGGCGGGAAACCACTAGCACGCAAGGGGTTATAGAGGATTTCGAGCGAGAGCAGATAGGAATGATAGAGGAAAGGATGAGGAGGAGGATACTGGATAGATCAAGGCAACTGGAGATGTCGATTGACATTACATTTGAATAGTTGGAGATTATAGCTGTCAGGGAAACAGGAGTAGGGAAGAGAGTTCCACAGGCGAGAGGTGCGAGACATGAAGCTATTGGAGTAGAAGAGACGGCTACATTTAACAGTTTCAACAGTGAAAGGGCGAGAGCGGGATGCCAGCCTCGTAGGATGCTTGAATTCACGAAGTCTTTGAACCAGCGAAAACAGCTCATCGGAGCAATTACCATGAAAATGTTTGTCAAAAAGACAGAGAGAGGCGACGGCGCGTCTGTGAGAGAGCGACTGCAGACGAGATGCCAGATCGAGGAATATTTCAGAAAAAAATGATTTTCTAATCTAATGTTACAGAATGTGAAGTCCAGAGCCAGAATGGTCAGCGACTGGCCATAGTTCCACTTGGGTGTGGTATTTTGAATGTGATGGATTGCCTTGGTCTAGTTTCTGGATATCAGTCTGCAAGAAATTTGAAGCGTCGAGGAGGAACACTGAGCCAACGTACGAAAAGCGTTTCTGTGACGTCATTCTTCCCACTGCATCTTAGAATCCAAGCTGCCACGACTCTCTCCTAATAAAATGAATAACAAAATGAAATGGTCCTTTTCATTGATACCGTTTCATGTAGTAGCGTGGAGATCAAGAGACGACACAGGACGCAATACTAATAACATTCAAACATTTTAAAATCATGAGTAGAAACAACATTTGTTTAACGTTTTAGTATTTTTTTTCTTTTCAAGTATATAAAATATCATTCACTGGGAAAGAAAATGTATTTTTGTTTATTAGAGTATAATTCAAGATAGTCGATCAAGGCTGTGTAGTATTAGAGTATGCTCGAAGATAGTCGAACAAGACATTTGTGAGAGAGTTTTTAATTTTAATTTGCACCAATTGCAATTTCAGATTTGGACATAGTGCAAAAGTTTTGAAGAGGAAGGCTACCTGTACAGAGAAAAAGGATTTGAAAGACTACCAGTATCGGAAGAATTGTCTACCGGGCCCGGAAAACATGTTTTTTAATAAATAGAACGAGTCTGAAAACACTAATAACCCCGACAGCAGTTTGGAGTGTCGAAAGGACACACGTGCGATTGATACCCTGCTGACTGACACCCTACTGCTGGTTCGTTTTATAAAGCTTATGAACAATTTTCAGGTTAATTAAAACCAGAAAATATTTTACATTGTAAGATTTTTTTTTTTTCGATAAGGATTTATTTACAATTTTTCTAAGTAACATATAGCTTGGGGAGAAGAATTTAACGAATCGTATTTGTACACAAGTGAATTTAACGAACCCAACAGGAATTGGAAGTCGGCAATCCAGCAAAAAATTCCGAGTCATTAACCATGCGGAAATTCTAGCTTGCAGCACTTGTTATTCCCAACTGGTCACTCATCTAGTTACTGACAACGCTCGACGTTGCTTAACTTCGGTGATCGTACGGAAATCAGTGTTTCTACGTGATGCAGCCATAAGACCTGGAAGAAATGACGATCAACCACAAGAAAATAATATACAGTGTAATTCAGAAAATAATTGATATCATTTAGTCATCTGATATCTTGACCAATTCTCGTTCAAATGATTTCAATTTTAGTAGCATGCATAGAGAAACATCATTCAATGGAAAATAAAAAAACGTCTGTGTGTTAGGCTATGCTCGAACATAGTCAAACAAGACTGCCTATCGTGCATTTGTGAGAGAATTCGCTAAAATTCATCAATTGCTATGCTGCCATGTCGGCTGGGGCCAACTGCACCTCTGCAGAGGGGTAAGAACCCCCCCAAACGAAGCGTCCTTGGTAAGACGATCAACTACATCCAGCAGCAAGGCCTCTGATCAGGAGGTTTTGAGGAGCGTAAAACCACCCATTAATTGCTTATATTCCCAGGTTCACCCTGACCCAAGGTGGTAGCACATGTTAGGGTCGCAGCTATGGGGAAATAGTTAACCCCAAACTGGGGTCAAAACACTATGAAAGTGTTAAAAATAGATTTCAATACCATCAATACTTTTTTTAAAATCATAACCAGCAATACATTTTTGAAGAAAAAAATATTACCAACAATACATTTTTAAAGAAAAAATTTTAACAGCAATAAACATTTTTAACAGAATATTACCAACAATAAAAATCTTGTCGGCATTAAATAACCCATTGAGCTTGATGTGCCATAAAATAGACCAAACCCAACCTAACCAACCGTAATGCAAATTTGGACATGGCAAAAACAGATGCAAAGAGGAAGGCTCTCTGTGCAGAGCAAAAGTTTAATGGACCACCACCCGTTTCGAAAGAGATAGTCGAGCGCGTTCGGGAAACTTTTTTCTACGGTCTCCGGAAGTCCATAAGAGCAGCAATTCTGGAAACACTGGTTCCTCAAACAGCATTTTGGCGTGTCGCAAGGAAATTCGTGCGAATGACACCCTACAGGTTGCAGATCTTTCAGGCATTAAAGACACATGACAAGCACAAGTGCGAGCAATTCTGTGTCGATATGCAAGGGAACTTTTGAAAACCTGCGAAAACGTTCGTGAAATCAACATACTTTTGAATTTCGCAAGTTTTGATGAATAAATCTTATTTGGCTCAACAATAAACCTGTTTAGCTTCAACTGTCCAGAACATGTGGTCACTCAGATACACCATCTAAAATGCTATCGGTGTTTTGAAACACCTTTATAGTCTTGTCTTTAGCAAGAGGACAGAACAAGATGAGATCTAGGATATTTGAAAGTTGTGCAATGTGCTATAATCGATGATGGTAAATGTGAAACGCGAATCTACATGAGTATTGAAATAGGGAAAGATGCCTTCCAAAAGCGAAACCAAATATTAACAAACAGGAAAATTTCTTTGGAAACAATCTCGATCGTTATGCGTTATCACTCAGTCAGTTATGTGCCATGCGTGATACACGCTTAGGCGATCATGTGTCTTTCGATACATGACTGACGAGGCAGATTTTTTTTCCGGAGTAGGTTGCCATTTCTTTCTGCAGTAGACTAGTTGCTATCCAAGGCTATAGAACCCGGTCTGTCCTGCTATTTACCCATAGCTGGGGGAAGAAGAGGAGGATTCATACCTTTCCCAAGGGTATTACCACGTAAGTAATGGATTCAATAGGAATTCGAACTCGGGTCTCCAATTCCTCAATCCGAGCCGCTATCCATTACTCCACCGTGCCTCCTGCATCATCAATCTACATATAAGACAGTAAGTACTGGACAATTTCGTCCCAGAGGAAGAGGAGAGCTGGCGCAGCAGAGATATGGTTCTACAGAAGGATACTGAGAATAATATGGGATAAAGAGACAAAAAGCGCTTGCACTTTGAATCAAAAATAGGTCGTTGAAGTATCTAAATAAAGTAATGGAAGAAGAGGGTTTGACACTCACAGATTTTAATAACAAGAGGAGCAGATAAAAAGTAAATAAGCTATTCAAACGGCTTGGATATCTGAATGAGAAAACAGGAACTAGGAAGAAAAATAAGAAAACACTTTGCTTAGAAAGCTTAAAAAGGTGTGGCGACCTATAATCAATCGTGAGGTGTTGTAAAAGAAGAAGGATGATTCGAATTAAGATCTCCAGCGAAAAAAATGGTTTCTAACTGTGCTTTTAATTTCTAATAAAGGAAGCTGAGAACATTTGAACCACCCAATAAATATTTGCAAGCCCACAACGTCAGAGTGTAGCAGTAGTTCAACATTTCTGTTGTATTTGAAGAATCCCTCGTAACAACAGACTCAGTATACGGATTTAGGTTATTTTCTCTGATGGATCATACAAAAGCTGACCGGTTCCCCCGGCTATTGCGAAAAACATCAAAGTGTTCCCATGACTGTAACCCTTTAGGTTAGATAATGCCTAAGAGCCAAATCTACGATCGCAGGAGATAATTAATTTTTGCTTTCAAGCATCAAATGCCCCGAAAGCGCTTATTCTACAAAGAATCTTTAAGTCGATTCCTTCATCAGATGTAAAGTACAATACAATCCCTCATATCCGGAATCCCTCATACCCGGAATCCCTCATACCCGGAATCCCTCATATCCGGAATCCCGTATATCCGGACATGATTTTGATATGCATATATGAAGTATTTGGATGATGTGTAACTGATTTGAAATTTCTGTTTTTCACGAAATTTATTTTGAGTAATTGCTTACGCTCATTTCACCCCAAATGCTTGTATTGGTGCAAAATCTGATAGGAATAAGAGGAAAGGATGACAACGAGACACATCTGCAATAAGATAGCGACGAGATGCATGAATGCGAGGAAACATGGACGGAAATTGAAAAAGCTATTGAAAAGGTTGTCAGTTTTATGGAAAGAAAACCAGTATTCAGCTATTACGATTGCAATAAAGTATGCAGAGTCAAAAATTGTCTCTCGTTTAAAAAAATTGCGGAAAAAGTTGAGAATGACATTTGAAGAGAAAGAATCATCATACAACAGGGGGAACATGAGTACAATGACCTATTTGATTATAACAATAAAACAACTCAATAGAAAGCTAGAGCAGAAAAGATATTTCAAGAAAAGGAAGCTGCCATTATATTTGAACAAATTCTTGGTATTACAATTATCTACTCATCAACGTACAAAACTGGTGTCGTATCTATCGGCATCAACAAATTATACAAAACGTATTCATCGCATGTAACACCGCGCACTCATACATCAGTCGTTCTTTTTAGGCCACTTTGTATAATAGACATAATTATTTGCGGGCTTAATATTATGTTTTTTTTCCTAATAATAATAATAATAATTGTTGTATAAGAGGAAGTGTCGTTGCCGACACTGTTGTTTGAAACTAGATCGCCAGTTTGTAACACGGGCGATTCCATTATTAAGTAGATCACGTGATCATGAAGGAAGTGAATAAATAGGAAGTAGGGAGATGACTATACGGATCACTGTTCACTCTTTTTGTCTATCCACTATTGCTATTGCTATACGTTTACTCTCTCTACGCTACTACTATACGGATTACGATTCTATTCTGATCATTATACTATTTGACGATTACTACTTGAACAAGTGTTACTAGTATGGATATTATTGGAAGAAGGCATTACTTTTAGTACCGGCGTCTACGAAGTCTCGAATATAACAAGCATTTTTGTAAGTGATAACGAGCTTTTGCTTGGTATAGCAAAAGTTATAAGTGAAGCCATCCAATATCACAATAATAATAATAATAATAATATACGGAATACAGCAATCAATTATGAAGAAAAACATCCGAAAAGAATATCATAGGAGAGTGCGTTTGGTACTAGAAAGCGAAATTAATGGAGCCAATAAAATGAAGGCTATCAACACCTTAGCTATACCCGTAGTAATATACAGTTTCAACATTATTAAATGGAAGTTGAATGACATTAAAAGATTGAACGCCATGTTCAAAAAATACTTACTCGAATGAGGATGCACCACCCGAAATCAGATGTTGATAGGTTTTGCATACTAATAGCTTTAAAACTTGACCTAACTCTAAAATCTACAACAATCATATTGGAAGCATACCTCACAAAATCCAATGACCCCCTTTTACAAATAATAAAACACCAAATCCACTCCTTCAACAGAGAAGCTACACTCTTCAAGAAACAGCTTGATATTAACTGAAATCTTACCAACCAAAAACGAAGCGAATAGCATCGACGCCAAATGAGTAAAACAGAAAGAAAAACAACTTGACCAAAAGAAACCCTGGAAGGACAAGGCTTTGCATGGCAAATATCTAAAAACAACGAGAGAAGCGGATCTGGACCAACAGAAAACACATCAGTGGCTGAGGGGTACTAAGTTGAAAGCTGTGACAGAAGGCCTAATTATTGCAGTTCAGGACCAAAGCCTCCCAACCGGATCCTATCACTATCACATAATGGATGGAACTAACCCGAAATGCAGGATCTGAAGAAAATATGATGAAACTGTCTAACATATTATCTCAGGATATCCGGAACTAGCACAAAATGAATATACCCACGGATATAACAAGATCGCGATATATGTGCACTGCAAGATATCCAAGAAGCACAAAATCGAAACCACTGAGAGATGTTATGAACACCGACCAGACACAGTTATCCAAAATAACGATGTAACTCCCCTCTAGGATTTGCTAATTCAAACTGACAGGGAAATAAAAACCAACAGACCTAATATTATCATAAAAGACAAGAAATTCAGGAAGTTTATACTTCTTGACATAGCAGTACCATCTGAGAGATACACTTCCATGAAAGTTATCGAGAAATTGTCCAAATACAAGGACATGGAGATCGAGGTTAACAGGATGTGGGGAATGAAGATTGAGACTGTACCGATAGTAATCGGAGCTCTGGGTCTCGTGAGAAAAGGAAAGGACTATTTTACTAACAGTGTCCCAGGTAACATCAACATACAAGTTGCCCAGAAGATCGCCCTACTAGGAACAT